GGCGAAGCACGGCGCTCGCCGCCGTGACTCCCAGCTCCAGCCGCGCTTCGCTGCAGCGTCGCCCGCACCCGCGCGAACAAAGAGCGCGATTCGTCGAGCGGCCGTAAAAATACATCTCCAGAAGATGTTTGGATCAGTGCTAATTGCAACTTCCTTTTTATAGGAGCCTGATCAAAACCAGCTGTGGGAGTCAAGCAGGAACAGATTTATACATTACGCTAGAAATCTGACAAATTCAGAGAGAAACAGCTGAGCAAATGCCTCTAAGCGGCTGGAGAGACACATGTAACACACGATGGCTCGAGACTTCCCCAGAGGAAAATCCCTCACTGGATGTGGATTTTTTTTTTTCCCACAAGTGCTTTTCTTTCCTGATCCCCTCTTCAGTTGAAGGCTATACTGAAGCGGTGCCCTAAACTCGTACCTTTAGTGAGGCTATAACCACAGGACAAAAAGGTGAAGCAAATCTCTCAGGACGGCATCCTTTCCGGTGCCTCCCTCCAACAAGCGTAACCAGAGCTGTACCTATCTTGCGCAAAACGTCGTCAAAACCAGCGGCGAGAGGTAGCCGGCCAAATATAAACGTTGGAGGGAGAAGGCAAGGGGCAAGCAGCCCCCTGGTGTGTAACAGCCCCAGCTATCAACATCACCTGCTATTAGACTATTAACTCCCTTCAGACAGTTAAGTCTAATTGGGCTCTTAACGCCGAAGACATAATCCTTCACCCGCGGGTGGGACGAAGACATTATCCTTCACCCGCAGCTGGCCCGGTGACCGCGTCCCACCCTCTCAGAGCCAGCGGGGGCTACAGCGACGGTTCGGGGAGATCCACACGTTCGCAGTCTTCACGGCTGATTACTGCGGCTCGTTACGGCTGTGAACGAAGCCATATGCTTTGGAGAAAATCCAGGTGGACCGAAACGGAGCCGCCTGCCTGCGCAGCCTCCCGTCGCGGCCGAGTACGGGTCTCCGCTGTCTGCGGCCGGCTCCCGCCCCCGCGCTCACAAAATCCAGCTCCGGAGTCATTTAACGACTTTCAAAGTCACCCACGTGACCGGCGGCGACGGCCCAAACCTCAAACTGTCAAGAAAAAACAACGGGAGGCAAGAAAATCTAAATGCCAGCTCAGCCAGCTTTATTACTAAATGTGCTCTTTGTGATCTCTATAAAAAACTGCCTATACATCATACGCGGTCTAGCGAAACTAGCAGAAACATCGTGTAGGTAATACTTCCTACGAAGTAAAACATTTTCACTTTTGCAGAGCCATGGAAATGCCAATACGCAAATCATATCGCAAGGAGAGAGGGATCAAATGAACGAGCCGTTCAGTCGACTTGCTGAAGCGGCCCTGTCGTGGAAAAGCGACATCTCATAGCGCCCGTCTCCTTCAAAAGCTAACTCGGGCACACCCAGACCCATCCTTAATATGCATCCCCAGGGCTCACCAAATGCACAGCCCTTGGCAGCTCGAGTTAAAAAATAATTTAAAAAATAAAGGGGGGGTTATTCTCAACACACTTTTTGATGATTCTATTGCATTGGCAGCCTCAGATGCCTCAGGCACAGCCAGAGTAAAGAGGACTTGCGATATTGTCCTTCTCTAAAGGTCACAACGCCTGCTGAAGTACTCTTGGGTTAGCACCTGGCTACAAAGACACTGCCTGCAATGAAGAAAAGACAATCCATGAGTGACGGCGAGAACAAGACCCCGGCGGGCGAGGTTTGCAGACAAAGATTTTTTTTTTTTTTTAACTAGTCAGGCTGATTTAGTTAGGAAAAGACTTTTTTGGGTACCTAAACACTTTTTCAGGAGAGAAATAGAAAAAAGACGTACATTTTAAGATTGAGAGGCGATCTCATAAATGTGTCCAAGTATCTGAAGGGGGAGTGTCAAGAGGATGAGGCCAGCCTCTTCTCTGTGGTGCCCAGCAACAGGACAAGAGGCAACGGGCAGAAACTGAACCACAGGAAGTTCCGTCTGAACCTGAGAAAAAACTTCTTCACTGTGAGGGTGACAGAGCATTGGAACAGGTTGCCCAGAGAGGTGGTGGAGTCTCCTTCGCTGGAGATATTCAAAACCTGTCTGGATGTGATCCTGGGCAATATGCTCTAGAGGTCCCTGCTTGAGCAGGGAGGTTGGACTAGATGATCTCCAGAGGTCCCTTCCAACCTCAACCATTCTGTGATTCTGTGATTTTGGGGTGACTTTTTTTGTATCATGCTTCCAACATTGTAATCAAGAACACAAAACCCTCTGTTTCACTAAAATAAAACCAGATTTGTTCTAATACTGATTTAAGTAAACCAGGGCTGAAGAAATGGCTCTGTTGAGATCAGTAGCAGTGCTTTGCAAAGAAAATCTCTTCAGTTGCCCACAGCCCAACTCAGTTATAAGTCCAGGAGCTGGGGGGTCTCCGTCCCATGAAATTGCAATCCAAGGCTGATAGCACTTTCTGAAAAGTTTTGGAGAATACTGTCCCCCATTTGTATTTATCCCATGACTTCCTCAAAGGGTCAGGCAGTAGTCAGCCCACCTACCGTTTAAGAAAGTGCCCATCTTTTGAAGCTTGCTCTCGATTTTTTTGAAAAGGGAAATAGCACCTGAGATGAAGGATGTTTTCTCCTGGATGAAGACTTCAGCCGGGGGAACGTCAGTGCTACAGGCAGAATTGTCACGCATGCTGGCTGTTTGCTGTGGAGCTTACCCTCGAAAGAGGAAAAAATAATTAATGAACTAGACAATCAAAAGCACAATGAGTTTCTTTTAAATTAGCTTTATCTCAGTGTATCCTTACCACACCCCACTCACTTAAATGCCCACAAGCACAGGCAAATAAGCAGTTAACCAAGAAACCAATCAAACTATTTCTTCCACATCCTGGAAGAAGAAACAGAGGTGAATGAACAGAATATTTCATAACAGTTGTCGGCATTGGTGATATTGATTATCCCTGATGGAATATTTATATTTTTGTCACTATGACTGAAGAGAAGAAGATATGTGTTATATTCCCAGACATTCTATGATCATTTATCCACTTGGGCAAGCCTGTGAATATATGCTAGGAGTAAACAGAAGACTAGTGAGAATTTAATCTGGTAAATCCTGGGAAAGATCCCGAGGCAAAATCCTGGGAGATTTCCACCCCTTGCACATCCCAATGCATTACAAATCTAGTTTGTGTTTTATAGTGTTTCCCGATGTAATACTGATAAAAGAATTGCTTTCAATTTGCCAAGGTTACTGTAATTTTTGAGGCAATCAAAGCTTTGCAGCTTCTAGATATGTTTGCTGCAATGCACTTACAGGAGGAAACACTGGGAGAGATTTGGGAGATGTCATTTAAATGAAAAGGGGCACCTCAATAAATAGACCGTGTTAGTTATTATGCTACGCCAAGATCTCAAAACCAGTTTCAATCTCTTATTAGCTTCTGGATGCAGCTCTGGACAGAGCTCATTTAATTTTGTGGACAGACTCTGATGTCTCCCCTTACACCAACAGGAGCAGTACATCCAACCCCACCAAGAGTTTCTTGTGTCCCTGATTGTGCCCCTGTACTACAGCTACTTGTTCTTAAGTCAGTGCTACAGTGATAAGGCCCAGCAGTACCTGCTGGAAATTCTGATTTCTGATATTTGCAACCTCTTACCAGACAGGACACAAGCTCAAAGGCTTTCAAATGCCGTCCAGAGATGCCTCGTCTGTTCAGACAATGCCTTGAACAGGAAAGAGCAGCAAAGGTAAGTTGCTGGTTAAGTTTCCTAACTTCTCTTCTCTTCCCACAAAAGCAAATTTATGGATTTTTAAAACTGATTTATTACACTCGTTACCATTGGATTTGTTTAGGGAGTACTAAAAGTAATTTTTTGAATGCACAAGTAGACATTCCTCGAAACGAACCAAGAAATGTATAAATTGCAGGTGTAATGTTGGCATCGTTACGTGGGCTGCACATTTCACAATATCCACAAACGCTTCCACGTAAACGTTGCACAAATGAACCACAGTGCGGTTCTTGTTTCAAAATAAACATGTCCTCAAGCGGGAGGATGAATGTTGAATTTTCATGGTTACGGTGGCTACACGTTTCTAACAGGAGGCATAGCAACTAATGAGAGAAGCAGCAACTGTAACACATTAAAATGAGCTGCGTTCTTCACCCCTCAAAGATATGGATTTTAAAACACATGATTAGACCATCTCAAATTTTTAAAAGCTATTTATACCTTATACCATTAAGAAATATATAAATTAAGACGGTTTGTGCGCTTTTGAAAATCTTTGCACGTCAATTTAATGGCATGTCAGGCTTGAAAGGGAAGAGTGTCAGATTGATTTGATAAGAAGCATATCAGAAGCACATTTATTGAGAAACGCACAAAGGATCATTTTATTTTATTTTATGCTGTGAGGGGAGAGGTAGAAGCAGGGTAGAGAGAACTTTAGTGTAGAGTTGTGTAAATTACATTGATTTTGTGGTATAACGCACTGATGCTGCGCTCATATAAAACATATATTTGTTGAAGGGGAGGATTTTATGCACTTAACGCACTTACTTGCCACCTCTTTTGATCTGACTAGAGCTCTTCTTTTGCAACCCTAACGTGCCAACCTCTGAGGTAAAATCACGAAGGAAGAATCGAAATGCAGTCCTTGAAGATTCAGTGAAGCAAATGGAAGAAAATCCATTATAAAGGGTCACCACTCCTTATATCCTACATTACTCCCACATAATGCAGAGGGGTAGGTTCTCATTTAGGAAATAACAGATCTTTTTACTCACAAAGCAAGTTGCCTGCAACCTTGAGGACAATAGGAATAGCTGGAAAAAGAATAGAAATCAAAAACATCACCTGTAGCAGATTGAATGCTGCAGGTCCACTGCTTTCTAAAGGGTTTCTGAAGCAATGTTAAATTAAACACCGTCAAGGGTGAAACACATGAAGTCAAAAACACAATCCCAAGCTGTCCAGGACCACAACTGGACCTGCTGGACCAGAGACGGTGAGTTGTCTTGGAGCAGGACTTACACAGGTCAGGCTTACCCTTTCCGAGCTCGTGCTCACATCTCACCATTTGGCCACAGGGCTAGGGTGGCTGTCACCAAATAACTTCTGGGTGCTAGAGCTCTCCTAGCAATTTTGGGGTGTGAGGCAAATCTGGATGATGTGGTGTTACTCTGTCGTGTGTCACGGAGATGGAGCATGCGCCTCAATAGCTCTGTGATGCCAAAAGGCACCTTGGACTCATTGCTGATGTTAGAGCAATGCTACAAAGACACAGAAAGATTCTTCCCTTCCTTCCATAGGTGGATAATGGGAATTT